TTAAGGTTATATGTTTCTGGACATGACCGTAGCCTGTGAAGGGCAAGGGGCAGCTCCCCCCCTAGAGTTTGGAGCAAAATTAAAAAAATTAGAAGAATCGTAAATAACCCTAACGTGATTTTTTGGTCACTTATCCGTGAAATAGTCAGGGAATATTGCTAAATTCTGAGAATAAATTCCTTACCAAGAAATTTCTTCACCAATGTGTTTGTAAAGGTGTCTACTAACATATTTCAAAAGATCTAAATTTAACTTTCCTAGAACAACCCGTGACAGCAGGGGCGTGAACAGGATTTGTACCAGGGGGGTGTAACCGTAACCCAAAGTTGCGAGCACGCGAAGGGGGGTCTGGGGGGCCCTCCTCCAGAAAAATTTTGAAATTGGACCCCCTTAGATGCGTTTTCTGCGCGAGCAGAGGGGGGTCCGGACCCCCTGGACCCCCCCTGTACACGCCCCTGGACAGCTACTGAAAGTTGGGGTACCCGGAACCTTATCCGGAAAAAATTGAAATTTTTTTATTCTGCCTTAAGCAGCTTGTGAGGAGTCAAACTAGAGGTTTTTCATTATTCTGAATTGATTGCATGCATTTGTTTTGCACAAAAACCACTCCTTGACGAAAAACGGCAACATCCACTTTTTCCGCTCGTCGCAAACCCATTTTTGGGTGAAATAAAACATTGTTAGGTGCATGTAAGTTAAAAAGTAGCTTTATTAGTTTATTTCATTTTCTCAAATACTTGTTGGAAACTGCTCCTCAATGTCAAATGCCTCAGGGGTCAAGGTCTGAGTCTTCTCATACTTCATCATGGATACAGTTCTTGCATGAAATGCCTTTACAACTTCCGCATGCTGAGATGCACTTGACACCATTCTTCTTGCAGCTGCACCGTCAGTTGCTGCAATCTCCATTACAATTGCAGCTCGTGAACTGAAGCAGCTCCTCAGGAGCCATGAAACCGGCTCATAACCATTATTTCCTACCGTCCATCCATAGTCACTGGGGTCCAAAGACATGCTCTGCAGCAGCATCCAGTCCCGGGTTTGGAGATAGGCACGGAGAGAATGCTGTGCAGCTGCACCCTCTGTTGGTGGTAGAGTCTCTGGTTTGATTAGCCCGGCCGCCGCTTTCCGCGAGAACATGTTGTATCGAATTGCACCCAATGTAGTACCTGGTGCATGGTAAATGTGCTGGGAAATTGCAATACCAGCCCCGATCGGGCAATAGAACAAGATATGAGCAAAGCGTCTTAAAAAAAAAGTAATCATAGTTGATGTAAGTAGTAATCAAAGTTGAAAATACCTACACAAAATTTTACTGACCTCAACAGAGTCATCTGTAGCAGCAGTCAATGCCGCTCTAACAATCGAAGTGTCAGCATCATTGTCACACTGCTCCACGGTGATCTGACGTTTCCGGAATGTTGAAGAGAGGAGATGGATAAGCTCACTCTTGTTATGAGTGTTGTCCATGAACTTTGCCCTTGGTGTCAAATGTATCATATCCGGTTGAATCCGTAGATCACAGCAGGAGTTCTTGGTACGCCGGATGTGGTCGTGATCTTTTGGCGAGCTGCTATAGCCATCAAAGACGACAGTGATCTTCTGAGAGCGACTGCCGAGACACTGCACATAGCTCAGGTAACTGTCGGCAATCTCCTGCCAAGTCTGACCTTGTTCCCACTTCACCATGTAGAGAAGCCATCCGCCATCAACCACCAGACTGGAGCAGGCTTAGTCAGTCAACTCCTTCAGGCTAGTCTTGGAAAAGCCTGTCTTGTTCGCCTTGTTCATTTTCTGATCTTTGTTGCTGAACAAGGACAAGGGGAAGGGAATCAGCTCATAGCTTGTCTCGACTGTTATATCCCGTTGGGCAAAAATTATCAGTCGGTTGAACAACTTGAATGAGTTTAGGTGAATCTTCTTCTCATTGACCCTGGGAAGCTTTCTGAGCGATGACAGGGCCTGTACCTTGAACTTCACCTCCATGGTCGATGTCACTGACTGTCCGTCCAGCTTTATCTGCATCTCCCTCCCTACTTCAACCGCTCTCTCAGCGTTGACTGCATTATCTGCAGTGCTCGTGAATCCTGTTGAGAAGGACACAAGCAACTGCTTGTCTCGGTCAGGGTCGAAGGGGTTGTTCTCCTCGACCCATATGAGGGCAAGTCTAATCGCTGCAGCATCTCGCTTCATCCGTGTTTTGGCAAGGCCTTTGTGGAGTGGACCATGTTTCTTGACACCTTTCTCCATGCGCTGGTTGACATCCGAGAAGTGGTTGAGGGTTTGCACCCAGCACTTGTAGCCAGAATCACTATTCTCCATCCTCCCTCTGCTCAACCCACCTTCTGACTTGGCCGCCTTCATCAGTCTCTGCTCGATACATATGTTACACCAGGTGCCAGACCAATCATGGCAAGAGTAACAAACAACGTGGTTCCCATGGGCAGTGAAACTTTCTAAGGTCTCCTTGTATCCAGGCGAAGTTTCGAGTTGCTTTATTAGCTGACAATACAGCCGTGCGCCCTTGGCGTATTAATGATGCCCCGCAGCTGCAAAGGTGTCTAGCATCCTGGTAACAATGCAGGACAGGTGCCCGTCGTGGTCTGCAAGCCGTTCAGTTTTAATGAAGATCTTGAGGACATCGACCATGTAGTGGTACTGCACCCAGAGTGCAGGCGTTCTTTCTCCCTCGGTGAGTCTTTTGAAAGTTTCTTCAAATCTCTGTTCAAACACTGCAACTATTGGTGCTGTGGGTCTGGCTCCTATCTTCCCATCAGCTACCTTCTCCATGAAGGTCCTCATTTCAGCAAGTTTCTCCTCAGTGAAGGCGTGTTTCATGACGTACTGAAAGATGATAGCATCTATCAGGAGGTGAGCGCGGATCGCCTTGTCAAAACACCCTCCATTCAGGATGTGGTCGGCCGTCATACTCCCTGGATAGATCAGCTGTATCAACTCTAGGAGTCCAGAATCATCCATGATATTACCCAAGGACCCGAGGAATGATTTTAGCAGGTGAAACCCACCCAACCTGAAGAGAGAGAGAAGAGAAAAATGAAATAAATAGTTATAATTACAGAATTCATTCAATATTTAAACCTGCAATAACATATGATGGCTAATTCTCAGTTTGGTAACGCTCGATTCTGTGCCCGCAAAATGTTAACACCAAAAGTACTTTACACCAAAATAGTTTTAAACCAACAGTTGATTACACCAAAACTAATTAAATCATACAAAACCTATCCTAACTACGCCCCCCCCCACACACACACACAGTGCCCTCACCTTGGAATGATTGGTAGATTCGCCTGCTTTATAATATCCACAGCCTTGAGCCAGATGTGGAGATCAAAGGTCACTATGGCGACTTTGTCCCCGGAGAGCCGCATGCACTCTTTGAGAGTGGTGAAGATGGTCCTGTGGTCATTAGGGTCACCTTCAATGACCGGGAGGAAGTCGACCTGCGTGCTCTGCTTGGCATCATTAGCATGAATCCTCTTCATCCAGCCATTCCAGTTGGAGTGCTGGAACTCGGGATCATGGGCTTTGATCACCCACCCTGCTGCCCAGAGCGTGTCTCCCGGAGAGAGGAGTGGCTGGTCATGTGTCTTTGAGAGGTCAGCAATAGGAAGAAACGTGATGGTGTTTATCCCTGTCTGTTTCCTGTTTGTGAATGGAAGAAGCTTCACTTCAGCTGCCTTCAGGATTTTAGCCTTGTCGAGTGCCTTCAACTTCACCCGGCTGACAGCTGCTGTCTGATTATCTGCCGAAAGTGGTGCTGGTGGTGACTTTAATCAACCCCATTG